GGGGGGGGGGAGGTACAGGCAGACATAGCTTTTAATTCTGCAAGAAAAATCTATACTTCAACAGCAAAAGATTTTGAGAGTTCAAGTCATGAATTCCAAGCTCAAGAAAAAAAATGAGATTTTTTTTTAAACTACATGCTATATACTGATTCTATTGATGTCAATTAGGCTGTAAATCTAAAATATAATGCTGAATATGAAATTTTTATTATGTTAAAATACTTATAGAGCATTTTGATTGTAATTTCTCACTGGCATTCACTGAAACTGCACTCTGTTATGCCATGGTCAAATTTAATGAACATGGAACTTTTCAAGAATACCAATTAACTCCAGGGTCAGGCTGTTACTAGTCTTGCCGACACAGTCATCTATTGTTATTGCTGTCTGATTTAGCAAGCTTTTTATTGCTGTGGCAAGGCACATCACTTTAACATGGCATAAGTGGAACACTCTTATTTGAAAAAAACCTGAAAGCAAGTTCAGAAACTAACTCTAAGCAGGCCTCTCATATTAAAAGTGACCCACAACCATCAGACTTAATTTTGCTTGAAGATTGTGTATACATCATTCTGGAACGTCAAGCAACCAAACACAGCATACACTTACCTACTGCAAGCTGCAAAACTTTCATAACCATTTCCCTTTCAAGTCAAAGTCCAGCCATTCATTCAAAATGAAATCATTCCAAGCACACATGCTTACCATTCTGGTTAGGTTCTGTTGGCTCCAACACTTTTCTCATTGGAACGACAACTGCATCTCCAGGTATGCGTGGACTTTCCACATACTTGGGTTTCCTAATGGGACCTGAAATGGGAAATACTTACTATTAGCTTCTGTAATATTTTTCCAAAGGGAATACAGATTTCAGAAGACCTGACCAGAATACACTAAAAGCAGAAGTTCATCATGCAAACTACTGTACCTGACATAAGCTATAGTAAATACAGCAACCTCTCTCATACTTCCACTTGTGCAGTCTGTTGTCAGGGGGAAAGACAGCAACAGCAAGTTGTATTTAGGCTCACTTTTTGAAATGTAAACCCTTCTGTAGAAAAAAAGCAGTTTCCTAGCTGTGATGCCCCTGAAGTAGCCTCCAGCATATGTAAAGAGGGTGGCTCTGACATGATCAAAAGCCACACGAGCATTGGCACTAGCCTCTCCAGGCAGAATCTCTGTTTTCCACCTCAGCTGGAAGATAACCCTTGTTTACAAGAATAATCTTTGAAGCTGGGAGGCAATGATTACAAAGAAGGCAGCGTGCAGCATTAGCGCTCGTAATACCTCTGTCTATAGCTTTATATTACTGAGTACTGTATTTTTGGCCAAGCGGGTGACGCACAAAGTTGATCGTAAGAGGTCAGTGATGAGAGGAAAGAAAGATCCATTTGGGAGCTCTCTCATCATTTTAATTTTAAGAGAGGCCTACAGCAATTTACCAACAGATAGCTATATTAAGCCAAAGCATATTCAGTATTTTACAAGCAAGTCTTTCACTTGGGTTGATGTGGAGGTAACTGTTCATCGTACAGATTCCATCAAGTGTAAGAAAAAACGACCCGAGTACTTTCATTTCAGTATTTAAATTATTCATGACAATGTACTTTACCAAATGCAACAATTGCAGGAAACATTAAAGGAACAATAGAATTTGTAGTCACAATGAGAATACTGCCATCTAAAGTTTCTTTAGAGAAAGGCTTTCAGCACTAAGGCAACAGCTTCAGTCGGGGCTATCCTACATTCTTATTGCAATCTGTCATCATTCTTTCCCCTCCCTGAACTGAACTACTATTAGAAGTAAGACCCATAGCAGCACTAACGGCCACCATTCCCATTGCATTTCCACTGCTGCAACCAATCACAATATTGCACCACTGCCATTATCTGAATTAGCATTCATGAAGAAAAGACATGGCACGTATTGCAGCAACTGAAATCTGCCATTTCATCACAGCTCCCAGGTGCAGTTCCCACTCCTGTAGAATGTCCAAGCATGCCAATACAGACACAAGAATCCTCCCTCCGACATAGAATTCTACAGCCCACCAGCCTATAAGAAAAGACTCCAGTACTGCGTATGTACAGGTGTTGGGAACAAGTACTGTATTTTTTGCATAAAAATGGACAAGGACATATGACACCACAAGAAGTAGCTCACCAAAGGAGCCGATAGTTCTCTGGCTGTGATTAAAACAGTCACTATCACCTTATGTAATGGATGAATTTTTAATTTTGTTTTACAAATCTTCATGTGAAGCACACCACAATAATCTACCTTTGAAATAAGGTAGTAGAGTCCAACGCTCTTCTTCAAGAACAGACACAGCTCAGATCCATGCTGCTATCTAGCTTATCCCAGCAGCAGCTTCCAGCTATAGTCTGTTATTCAGAAACAATGTGACTTTTATTCTAAAGCTTGACTATATCTCCACCTTAGAACTAAAAGTCCTAACAAGCAAATTTGGTTATGCCAGGTAATTAAGCTGAAGAATTTTCTCCCTAATCAGACTGATCACATGTTTTCTTATCTGTCAATAATAAGACAGCCATAATATTGGCTGTCAATCTATTAATAAGAAATGTACTGTAAAAATAATGTTCCTACTTATATCAAAGTGGACCCAATTTCCAAAAGCTGCCAGTTATTAACTGTTGTATCTTCCACACTTAACTGAATAAAGGGATCAATTAATAAATATCAATCAACCAATCAAAAGGCACTTACTCAATAAAAGTTTATCTGAAGTGAAGAAGGCAATTCCGCTATTTTCAATGGCACTTTCCCCTTGCAAATCTATTCACATTCACAAACAGACTCTACTGTTCTAACACGAAATGATGCAGGTTACACCCTTTTTATATAATTATACTTTTCACAACTGTTTAAGGCTGAAACCTTAAGAATTACTGTGAAAAGACAATGTATCTGAAAATGCAACCCATTCAGAATGAGAACACCTTACCCTAGAGTTAGAAGGACCAGTAATTAAAAGGAAAGGACACAAAAATCAGTATTATTTTTCTAATTCAAAATATAGTGCAAGTTAAGATGTGTAAGACTAGACAGAGCAAGTGAAACGAATCAAGCCAATAAAAAAATACATTGCATTTTGTATATATTCCAGACCTAGAAAGTCCTCTGTTGCACCAGTCTGATCAGAGAGCTGTCTTATAGTTCTAACATCTTACATGAGTAAAAGTTATATTTTCTGAACAAAAAAGGGTATAGTTTTCATGTCTTTAATTATCTATACTGTTTCTTAAAAGTTCTTTGAGCACGTATCTTTAGAGCAAGAAAAAACCCCCCAGCAAAGTATTTGTCTAACTTAATTTCAACTCCTTGCAGTTCTACCTAATTACCGTACATACAGTATTTCCTATTTCTTAGATAAGTTATAATGACCCCGGATTTTTTAAACCAAATGGGCTCTTTTGGAGGAGGAGGCAAACCTCAAATACGACAGAAGTAGGATTATTCCTAAACCTAACTATATTTTCATTGGATAACTTTTCAGTAAATAAACTATGTAAAGTTTCAATATCTCAACTAATAAACTCCCTTTTCTGAGG